TGTAAAGTATCACTATCATGTGATGTTTTAATTCTTTCACAAATATACTCAGAAAAGTTACAGCTGGATCAAATGTAATTTCTATTTGTAGTTTACGGAAGAATTTGTATACTGATTTCTGTAGTTGCACTACTTTACAAAATATATGTAAGCAGGTAAATAATAGAAAAATATTTTAAAAACTAGCTAGATGTTGGATTCTGGATTGTTTTCGCTATGAGACTTCTGGTAATATTTGACATTTTTTAAATGTGGGTTTTTAACTGCATAAAAATATTAATAAGGACAAGAATTTGGATTAAGGAGAGCTGGGGTGCATTGCAGGATTAGTAGGCCTTGAAAGTGGGAAGTCTGCTGATGGTTAGAGTGCCAAATATAGCTGCGATTGAACTGAAAAGGCAAGTGCTGGTGACCCATTTAGGAGGCCATGTAGCACCATAAAAATAATCACATCTCTGTAGCCAGAAGAAAAAATGTGCAGTAGGAACTGTGTCTTCCTAGCAGCCCACTGAAATACCAAAGCTATTAGTTTCTCCTCCCAGTTTTATGAAACAGATGAATTTAGGGTCAAGGAAATAATATTTCACACAAAACCTTTATAAACATGTAAGCATTGTTTCCTCTCTGTGAGCATTCAAGTTCCTGTTGGAATTTAAAAGAAAACAAAAAAACCCATTATATTCTACCAACTCAGATCACTAGCTAATATTACTTCAGAGAAAGCTCATATTTACCCCTCTCTCTCTCTCCACCCCACTGCTGTGATCTGAATATTTCTGTCCCCTCAAATTCATATGTTGAACTCCTGAGTCCAAGGTGATGGTTTTCAGAGGAGAGGCTTTTGAGAGGACAAAAGGGTGGCGCCCTGGTGAATGAGGTCAGGGCCTTGGAATGGTGCCATACCCTCTTCTAGTATGGGAGGTTACCGAGAGAAGGTGCTGTCAGTGAACCAGCAAGAAGGACTTCTCCAGACACTAGGCCTGCCAATTCCTTGATCTTAGACTTTCACTCCCCAAACTGAAAAAATACATTTCTGTTGTTTACAACCAACCCGGTCGATGGTATTTTCTTGTAACAGCCCAAGTGGACTTAGATGTATGCAACAGTGTAATTAGGTTATGTCTTTAATCCCTTATAGCCGGTGAGTTTCATAAAATGTGCTTCCTTAGTGTATGGTTAAAACAACATTTCCAAGTCCCATCTCACATTTCTCTTTAAAGAAAGCATCCTCAAGTAGTCATTACTTTGGTCAAAAAACTGTTTACAGCCAGGCTTGGTGGTACATGTCTGTAGTCTCAGCACTCTGGGAGGTTAAGGCGGGAGGACCACAAGTTTCAGTCCAGCCTGGGCAACTTAGTGTCTTGACACCACCTGGTCGCAAAAAAGGTGAGGCTATAGTTCAGTGCAAAGGCCCTGGGTTCAATCCTGAGTATTTTTTTAAGTGTTTACATTGAACTAGTAGTAGGAGATCGTAATTGTTGTTATCTATGTGTACCCAAGTTTAATTGGTGCTGTCTTTTGGTTCACTCAGATTCCCCTACTTGTGAGCTTTCTTTGAGTGCCTCTGCTCAGTCCTGAGTGGGAAGTATATGACTGTCCAAGCACCTTTAAAGTATCTGCTCGTTTTTTTTTTGGTAGGGGGGATTGAACTCAGGATCTTGCACTTGCAATAAAGTATCCACTCTTGATGGGTGCCTGAACTGACAGTTGCTTAGTAAACCAATGTACAACAAGTCCCTCACTTATGAACGTTCAAGTTGCAAACTGTCACAGATTGGAACTGACCTCGCATTACGAACATTCATAGATGTGAACAAATCGTGGAAGTAGCTCCCGCGTCTCCCAGATATTGTCACAGCTGTGCTGCTGTGTGCTTACTGTTCAGTGCGATAGTGTGCAGTTGTATAAGCTCAAAACCCAGGATGTCCGGAAGCAAAAGCAAAAGCACTGGTGATGTGGAGGGGACTGGTAGGAAGCGCAAAGCAGTAAACACTGCATATTTGTGTCAAAGAAGTATAGGACTCACTTTGTTGGACTTAAGATTGAATCTGACGTATGAACATTCTCCTGGGATGGAACTGGTTAGTAAGTCAGAGACTTAGTGTACATCAGAGACCGTGAGATTCTTCAGTTGCTCTTTTGCTCTTCAGGGGGAAAAGGGCCCAGAGCCCACCACAGTGCCATCCCTGTGCCTAAGTCCGACCTCCTCTCCTCCCACAGATGCCTTGGGAATGACTGGAGAAACAGCAGAGAAGGTTTCTGGCCCTGTCTCTCCTGACCGCTAGATGATGGGTTTTAGGCTCATTAACCAGTCCAAGATTCGTTTCATCATCCCTAAGGTGAAAATTTCCACCAGATTGACAGTAAAGCCAGTGTGTGCCAGTTTCCTCCGACTAACACTTTTTCTTCCATCCAGACCCCCAGCCTATTGGATGGTGTCAGGATAGTGTTTTCCCCATTCAGGGCCAGCCTCCCCCTCCATTCAGTAGTTCATGGACCCACATGCCACTTGTCTCTGGCAGCCCTCTCATAGACAACCAGAAGTGTGTGCCCTACCAGTTTTCTAGGCCTCTCTCGATCCAGACAAGTTGACAACCAACCAGTTAAGGGAGAGCACAGCTGACATTTTAGCACAAGTTTTGGAGTTAGGTATTGGGCAACCTTTCTGCATTGGTTTGCTCCTTTTCTCCATGAGTCTATCATCTTGTACATGTGTGCCACATGTAACAAGGGAAAACAAAGTTTAAAAAAATCATTACTACCCGTAGAAAAGTACCTGGGTAACACTTCGTCGGGAGATTGAGGGAGAGAGATGCAGGAATGACATTTCACATTAAAAGACAACCTGTTCTTAAGGGAAAAAAGTAAATTGTATTGAGTGATGCAATTACTTTAACATTTCCCCTTGGGCTTTATGCCCTAGTAAGAAAAGAGCAGCTGTTTTTAACTATGCTCCCAGAATCAGCTTTTGAAAGAAACTTCTACAGTACTAGGAGGAACAGAGGAAGAGCTTGCCCTTATAAGGCGCCAATAACCTCATTTGAAAAGTAATTTCCTGTGTTGGAGAGGTAATTCTCTCCTTGTCTGTGTGACAGTTTAACAAGAATATAATAGATTTATCTAGCAACTTGAACAAGTTACAGTAACAGGAGTGAGTGATGGCAATTTAGGTACATTTGAGATGATGTGAACATACCACAGAATCCTGAGGTACATTTGTTTTCTTTCCATGTTCTCGGAGTTAACAGCGTCATTGAGTTCTGTCGGTCTGGCGACCTGCCAGAGTGAGGACTTTTGAGGATCTGTTTATTGAATTGCACTCTTTGGCTTGTTAATTAAAAACTATTTACTTGGGTTGAAAAAAATACGGAAACTAGTGGACTGAGTGCTGAAGGAAGAGAAATGACCAGCACCACTCCAAGGAAGGTATAGGAGCACGTATAGATGTTGACATAAATTGTAGGGTGGGTTTCACAGAAATAGAATTATAAAGTTGGTCACTAATCAAAGTCTCTTGCCCTACAGTGTTTTAATAACCTTCATGTTTTCATATGATCTAAAAAGTGTTGCCTGGTGTTAAAAAGAGAAAATTAGAACAAACTTAGTTTTACAAATCTTAATTGGCTTTATTCGTGATTCCAGAATCAGGCAGCGGTCTGAATTCATAATGATTCATAATGCTGCACCTCACAAGCAGGTTATATTTATAGCAAAAGACAAAGGAATTACATACAGAAAACAGAAGTGGAGACAGCCCTTTTGGTTACAACTTGGGTCTTGTTTGAACATACAGTTGGCTACCAGTGATTGGCTGAGACACCAACCTGCTACAATAGTAGTTACAGTCTGTTTACTCATCAAATTATAGGGCACTTGTGTGGAGACGCTTTTAAGCCAATCTTAAAAGATATACAGAGGTAGCTTTAGGCAGGTCTTAACTCTGAGTTGACTGAGGTTGGCATCGTGTTTTCACACATATCTAAGAATATGTTTTTGAAGCCCTCCCCCTGGGTAGTCATCTTGTCTTACCATTTTTTTCTATACTGAATCATGAATTCTTAAAACCTTCATTGATGAAAACACTTTACACATTATCTCATGCTTTGTTTTATCAATAATTGTTCACTTTGGTTGACTGATTCAAAAGCTAAAGAATGATATTTTACGAGGCAACTCAATTCATTTTCAGAAGTGTTAATTATTTTCATATTTTGCAATAAAATCTTATTTGCTGTACTTATTAGTTCTGGTCTCCAGCTCCCAGCCACTTACAGTAGTATATCTGACCCCTGATTCTTGCAGAAATCAACTAGTGTGTTCCTGCTTGTTTTCACACCCATATACTCAATTATTTCATGCACATCCCATCTAACATACAAATGACTGGAATAATTGACATTTCAAGAATCCTAGTTTAGCTATACAACTTTTTCCTACTGTAGGAAAGCTGTTTTATTCTTTTATTTTGGTACCAGTTCATTTCAGTTAACTGCTTTAGATGTCACCCCTGCATTCTTGCCCTCTTTGGTCCCACCCAATGATTACCCACCTCTGAATGACAATGAAGAAGTTTGTTGGTCAGATAGCAGGAGACTTTCCAAGGAATCTGCTGGTACCACCTGGTCACTCCTCCGCTCTACCAGTTATAAGTCCTGGCTGGAGCTAAGGCAGCATCATAAATAAGAAATCAAGGAAATGTTTTTGTTTGAGTGAATTCTAAACACTAGGGAACTTATTTGCTATGTTTTGATGTTAATTTTATAATGCATCAAATGACACATTTCTGATGTCCTTGAAAGTTTAATTAATATTTACTCTGTTGATTGACATTTTTGTAAGGAATTCTATTGAAAGGCAAAACTAAATCTGAGAAAACTGAAATAAGCAACCTAGATGAGAGGAAACATTTCATTATTTTATTAAGCAAACAAATAGCTGAAAGTCACATTAAGATGTTCTGCCAGACATATCAGTCCAGTGAAACCAGATCTTTCTTCTAGTCTTTAGAAAGAAACTGGAAGTTAATCCGTGATGAAGGCCTTGCAGTGATGGATAAAGCCAATGGTCTTTTCCTGCCTGAAGATGAAAACCTAAGGGAGAAGGGTGATTGGAGCCAGTTTACGCTGTGGCAACAAGGTGAGCTCCTGACTTCTAGATTGTTCTCTGCAGCCAGTGGCCTGAGGACAAGTGACAAGAGTCTTCTGTGATAGTTCCAGAGCTGGGATTCCTGAACTTAAGGGAGCCTGCCCAGAAAACCTAGATTTCTTGAAAGTATTCATTGCTTAGAAAAAATACATCGGAGCAATTTGTGTATATGTGCATATGTGTAGATGTATTGTATACACGTATATTTGCATAGAGGTATATAAGCAGAATTTTTACTTTTTCTGGTCTTTCTGAACATTAAATAATATGTAACTGACAGTGACCCACTGTGTAGGTTTAACTGAAAAGTCCACCAAGTGCATATCAGTGGCTTAGAAAAGAGCATCCCTGAGCCTCATTTGCATCTATAAAATATAGTTGATGCTACAAGGCAAAATGATATTGCCATGAATAAGAGATATCAGAAATGATAGCACACTAGAATAACAAAAGTCACTACTGAGCATGTTAAAGATAAGTGGTTCATGTCCAACTTTACCTTTTTTGAGTCTAACCCATACTCCTACGCATAGATGGAGCTCCAGTATATATGTTACATGAGTTAATGTATTTATTTTTTTAAAAGGAGCATTTAACTTTAAATCTTTCCAGTTCTTTTTGTTAACAGTAGCTCTGCTAGTAAGTTCATTTTGATGAGCAGACAGCACGTGCCACACATGTTTAGCTACACACACACAAAAAAGAGTATAATGAGCAATCAGATTACATAATGGACAAGTAAGAACAGTGGCTTGTCTCAGTTATGCTTTTGGAATGCTGCAATGGAAGAAGGAGGTGAATTACTTCAATAATATTTTTAAGAATGTATCCATCAGGAAAGAGATCACATGATTTCAAGTGACCCTGTCAATTTTTTTTTTTTTTTTGTACCGGGGATCGAACTCGGGTCCTTGCACTTGCGCAGCAGGGAGTGAAACCACTGAGCTAAATCCCCAGCCCGACTCTGTCAATTTTTTTCCAACAAGAGTTTTTTAAAGAAAGGTAAACCATCCTTAAATGTGCTAAATGCACATTTCCATGTGTTACATCACAAAAATGACTCGGTTCTTTCATCATTTAAGTGTTCATTTGTTGCTTCAAGTTCATTAATATTCTTTATGTTTTATAGAAGCTACCTGGCTTCCTAGGGCAGTGCTCCAAAATAGCACGCATCCTACGAGTAACACCAGTCTCTACTCCAGAAACTCTATTCTCTGCTAAACATAGGTGCTTGGATAAAGTTGAAATATGCAAAGATTTATAGAGATATAAAAATATTAATCAAGAAAGAAAATAAAAAATAGAGATTGTAATTTGGTTTGGCAAATTATAATTATAATTTTGGTTGGCAACATCTGACTTTAAATTTTCACTAGTTTGATTATACCTGATTTTCTATGAATTATTTGGAGTAATTTCTTATGTTGTTTTTTACTTTCTTTCTATAACAAAGTTCAATTTTGTTTTTAAAAAGTCATAAAATTACTTCTCACTTATCTTCTTTTGGTTATATTTTCTAATTCTTGCTTTTATGTTTTTTCTTTCTCTTCTTATACTTTGTGTTAGATATTTTTAGTCCTTTTAAACATTTTGATTGGGACTCCTTTGTACATTTATTTTTATCGATTCTTATCTGTTAATAAAAGCAACTAAGGCAATGGTCTGACTTCTAGATACAGCTTTGGATGCATTCCATAAACCATAATGTATGGTATTTTTACTGAGATATTGCCAAAAATAGACTGCATTTCTGTGCTGATTTCTATTTTAACACAAAATAACTTAGAGATTGGTGTGTGTGTGTGTGTGTGTGTGTGTGTCTGTCTGTCTGTCTGTGTTGAACATGTTTTCCAATCTGTTGGAGCTGCTTCATCTTTTAAAAACTAACTTCTACCTGAGTCTAGTGGTGTAGGCCTGGAAGACTGAGGCAGGGAGATCACAAGTCTGAGACCAGACTGGGCAATTTAGCAACTTGGAAAGGTCCTGTCTCAAAATAAAAAATAAAAAATCACTGTTCTGGGGATATAGCTCAGTTCAAATGCCCTGGGTTCAATCCCCAGTACCAAAATAATAATAATAACAAACTTCTAGTTTTATATTATTGCTACTAAAGACTATAATTCACATAGTTTCCCTTTTAGGAAGTCATTGAAGTTCCTTGTGGCCTTCTGTTTGTGGATTCTAGGCTTCTAGAAGGGATTCAGTAACTATTTTCTGGAAACAAATCAATAGTGTAAAAAATAATTTCCCCCATACTTTATTAGAATATGTTTTTTAGTATGTTTGCAGTGCATAGTAAATACTTTCATCGTGGGTAAACTGACATCATGGGTAAACTGATATATATGTGTGTGTGTGTGTGTGTGTGTGTGTGACATTATATATATATATATATATAATATCACAAGTTGGTCCTTTTCTCTTCCCCTTCCCCTCCTCTCCCATCTCCCTCCATTCCCAGATCCCTTTCGCATCCATTCAGAGGACCAACTCTTTGATTCATTGATCTTTTTATTATTTTTTTAGTTTAAATTCCCTTAATTTCCACTCTGATCATCATAATTTTTCTATTAGTTTTAGATTTGGATTTTCCACGTTTCTCTGGAACCTTGAGATGCATCCTTAGGTTATTTATTTCGGAGCAGTAACGTATCTTGCATAGAAGCAGGATGGCATCATTAAGGCAGATGTCATCTTGGGTGCTGTGGCTCAGAAACAGACAAGAGGAAATCCTGCAATGGAAGGATTTTGAGGAGAGGTGGGGCAGGGAGATGGTAGGGCAATTTGCTTAGCCACATCGAGGATCCAAAGAGGCCAATGAATATCTAGCTTAATAAAGACTGAAAGGCTGTCTAATTTAGTTATAAAAGCATGCTTCTAGATAGTTAAAGTAATGAAGCTGTAGCTGGAAGTTTTATTTGTAAAAAGTGAAATCATGGTAAGTTTACCCTATGGTCTGAATTGCGTCCCTGTAAAAGTTCATATGTTGAAGCCCTAACTTCCAGCAGGACAGTGTTCAGAGACAGGGTCTTTAAAGAGATAAATGATGTTCTTTCTGTATGATAGGGCTGTTATCCTTATAAGAAAAGGAAAAGAAACTAGGGGCATGCGGACACAGATTAAAAGGTTATGTAAGGATATAGCAAAAAGAAGCCCGTCCATGAACCAAAAGAGAGGCCTTAGAAGAAATCAAATCTGCCAACACCATAATCTTGGACGTTCAGCCTCTGAAAGTGTGAGAACACAAATTTCTGTTGCCTAAGCCACCCAGTCAGTGATATTTTGTTACAGCAGCCCAGCAGAGTAATAGTCTCTAAGTGGTATAATTGATGCTGATCCACATTCCTTTTTGAATGATCAGCTTTTTAGAATTGAAGAAAGAAAGACAGAATCAGCAAATATAAATGATTTTTTTCTTTACAGGTATGTTTTTAAATTGCTGTGTTCAAGGTCAGGGGACATAGCTCAGTGGTAAGAGTACTAGCATTCACAAGACCTTGGCTTCAATCCCCAGCAATGAAAAAAAATGTGTCTGTATTATGGAACATCCTGCTTTGCTCACATTTTAATATAGTCACCAACAAGGACTAAAATATGCAGTTTGGAAACATGCCACCCATGTGCAGGCACTTTTCCTTCTCTAGCCCATGGAAATCGGTGCTAACAGATCCTCTGTCCTTTCTAGATCAACTCAAGGTAAACCTCTGAATTCTTCTCAAGACAATATTGTTCTAGAAACCCAGTGTCAACTGATCAGTTGTGTAAAATGGATGTTTTTGTCATCCCAACAGTAGTACCTTGAAATTTAAGAACAATATAACCCAAGTTCATAGCTCCAAGAATGTCCCTCATAAGGTATATTCACGTATAAATGAAATATTCAAGTGATTCTTTCAGCTCTTCATTGGCTGTTAGATCTCTTCCCAGTGCAATTTCCCAAAGAAATAAAGAGTACTACTTCCTAAAATTTAACTTAAGTTTGCTATAAAATAATAAAACAACACAAAAGCCACTGAGTTGCAAATGCTGGGCATTCCTCCTTCGGTTATGTTGAGTTAGTTGATTCTTTCCTGAGCTAATTTAAGATGTAACAAAGAAGAGAAATTATAGAGCCTGGAAACCACAATCCTAGGTTACAGTCCTAGGTTCATTCTTGTCAGCTACATAACGTGAGACTATCTCAGAGCTTCAAATTCTTCATCTGAAAATCAAAAATAAAATTTTTTTAATTTTAAAAATGAAATAAAAATAGTACCTAAAGTATAGGGTTGTAAGTAGGGTCAGTGAGTACTCAGTGAAAGATCTGACACAGTTTTCCAAGATATGACAGAGCTACTACTTTTCTGTTTTATAACAGTAGCACATTATGTGATTGTAATAGCAATGGAAATGTGTTTCCGGGTCCTGGCTAACAGCATGGTCCCTGAGTCCAGCGTGGCTGGATTGGAATTCCCAATTCTCTGTTCTGACATTTATTGTGTGACCTTTCCTGTGTGTCAGTTTCTGTCCTGTAAAATACAATGAGTGTCTCTCTTCATGGGTGTTGTAGACATCAGATGCATCAGCTAAGCGCGCAGAGCTGCTCCAGGCCCTTGGTAAGCACTGGCAAAGCATTGCTTGGGCCCCTCTGATCATGTGTGCATACGTAAAACCACCAGTGCAATCTACAAGTGTTGAGTCTTTACTTCACAGCTCTTTCCCTGGGGAGAATCTATATTTTCAGACTAGAAAGAAAACACAAGTCAAGTATTTATTATCTGAAATGCTTGACACCAGATGTGCTTCAAATTTAGGGGTTTTTTTCCAGATTGTGGAACATTTGCATAGACTTTACCAGTTGAGTATCTGTGATCCAAAAGACTGGTCCAAAATTTAAAATGTTTTCAGCATTATTTTGATACTCAGCAAGTTTTAGATTTTGGATTTTCAAATTAGAGATGCTCGACCTGTGTGTGTCTAAAGGGCCAGAGGTGCTCTCTAGTCCAATCCTGAACAACTAGAAATCCTACCAACAATTTATTTAGTTGTCTGTTTATTACCTACCATCCAGGTGAGGCGAGGCGTACCTGTTCTAGTACCATCGGTCAGCCCTTACCACTGTGCTTGTAGGACATCTACCAGGCTCGGGTTGCTTTTTAAGCCACCACCAAGCTTCACTCAGCCACTGCCTGGGTAGCGCAGAATCCAGAATTATGGACTCTTGCCACGGTATGCCCTGGCCCTGCACATGGAAAGACCCAGAAGGCTAGGGCTTAAAAATGCTTCATGCAGGCGTATACACTTGTATAGTATTTGTTCAAACTGACATTTATTATTCAGTTCATTTGAAGTTCTCCCTCAAAACTAAAAATAATAACTAACATTTTATTCAATTAAAAGGCAAAAAGATCACTTAATAAAGGCTAATATAGATTTATGATTTTTCTGACATATTGAGGCCCACTTGACTGGAGCACATACCTTTAAATTCCATCTCTTGTAACTCTGATTTTATTCTCGCTATATGATTATCTTAGTACACAAGTAGCATTCATGAAATAAAATTAAACTCAGCTGTAGATGTAGCAATCCTTTGTGAGAATTTTGAATAGGGAATTAAAGTGTTTCTATCTTCTAAAGAGACCATTGTTTTACTCCCCCATGAGAGCATATAATATTGCATACATTCTGGGCACATATTCCCCCAATAAATAGTAATTTTGTAGAGTGTGAAGAAATTTGCATCATCCAGGATTCTTACAGCTATGTTCCAGAATCTGTATTCCTGGTAGAATTACTCATAGATAACATGTCGCCAAAACCTGTTTGTCCTCCTCTTCATTTAAATGTCATTCTTTATCAACACTTAAAGGATGATCTGTACATTGAGAAGACATTAAATTCCAATTAAAAATAGTGTTTTGTAACTCTTTGATATAATCCCAGAAATGCATTTTAGGTTAGATATACAATGTAAGGTATTTTTGTTCCTTATGGGATTATTAGTTTCCTGTGGCTACCAAATTACCACGAACTCAGTGACTTAAATATATGCACATTTATTATTTTATAGTTCTAAAAGTCAGAAGTCTCTATGGGTCTTACTGGGCTGAAATCAAAGTGCCATTGTTTGGGAGGCTCCAGCTCCTGGAGGCTCTCCTTGTTCCTTGGCTTGTGTTCCTCTTCCATCTTCAAAGCCAGCCGTGGTCAGTAGGCCTTGCTTACTCTGTACTAATCTGAGTCTTCCTCCTCCTTTTCTCACATCCTCAGACCCTATGATTACACTGGGCCCATGCAGTTAAGCAGGATAATCTCCTTATTTTATGTTCAACTCACTAGAAATCTCAGGGCCATCTGCAGTCTTAATTCCTCCTTGCCACAGAATGTAACATATGCACAGGATCCTGGGATTACAATGTGGAGGTCTTTGGAAAGGGCCATTATTGCAACTGTCACATTAAGTACTCACCATGTACCTTGCCCATTAACTACCCTTAGTTTAACAGTCCAACGCTGATAGAGAATTCAGGTCCTTGTTCTGCTAGTCATTGTCTATTATCTTTCTGTGTTTACCTTGGCCTTCTCATTCCTGCAGTAAGAAAAACTATATATATTGTCCAAATGGGATGAATTTAGCCTTATTGTGATTTGTATGTTTGTTTGTTTGTTTGTTTGTTTCTAGATGGAGTCTTACTATGTTGCTCTGTTGCTCAACCTGGTCTCAAATTCCTGGGCTCACGTGATCCTGACTGTGAATCAGTCTCCGGAGTAGCTGGATTATAGGCTCATGCCACAGTGCCCAACTTGAGACTTGTTTCTAACAGTAGTTTTTGTCATTTACTGTTCTAGGAAGAAAAAATGAAAATGCCTGTAAAGGAGCTCCTAAAACCTGCGCTTTACTAGAAAAGTTCCCTGAGACAACAGGATGTCGAAGAGGACAGGTACCCAAAGTGTTTTTAGCACTCAGGGACGAAGTTGTTGAGAATGAGCAAGAGCTGACCTGTACAAATAAATGATTATTTCCTTTGTCCCAATGAATGCCTCTTTTCTGTCACTCAGTTTTTAGTGAAACGTAATCTCGTGTTGCTGGTATCAGAATCAAGGGTAGAAAATATTCAGTGTTTATCACTTTGTGCATAATTTGAGTGCTTATTTTTATCCCTTTCCCAAAGAATAAGATGTGTATATAAATCTTGAATCTCACAAAGGCTGTAATCCAAACTGGCAGTAATTTTGTACTGTCATATTAATTAAGCAATTTCTCCACACCTTGATAAAAGGCTAAATGAGTGTCATGTTTTCTGTGCAGATCAAATATTCTGTCATGCACCCTGGAACACATGTGTGGCCACACACGGGACCTACCAACTGCAGGCTCCGAATGCACCTGGGTTTGGTGATACCCAAAAATGGCTGCAAGATCCGATGTGCCAATGAGACCAAGTATGTTTCCCGCATCACTTCCTCACATCCATCACGTGGGTGCTCATGATTATAAAGCTATGTTCAGTGGGGTTATCTCTCTTCCTTTGTAACCAGAGTAGACTGAACCAGAGTAATGTTAATAGAGACTCTTAACTCTGTATCCCTTCTTTGTGCTTCATTTTAGTCTGGAGACACTGCCCAATTCTAGGGTGGCCCTCCTTAGCATTTCTCCCCATAGCATCCCTCTGGCTGTGAGCCTTCTTGCTTCTCTCTCTAGGTGGACAAACTTGCATTCAGAGTCAGCTAACACGTAATAAGTCCTGTACATATATTACACATTGTACTTGGGGTTTACAACTTGAACTATTCATAAATACAGCAAGTCCCTTTTCCTGTAGAAAATGCCCCATGATGTTTCTTTTTTGCTTGAGAGGAGGCTTCATGGTGTGATAGAAGCCAGCTGTCTTTTCCAGATCCTGGCTCTGCCACCCAATCTCATGTAACCTTGGCCAGTTCCTTAATCCCCTCAAATCTCAGACTTGCTTATAAAGTTGGCAGTGACACTATTTTGCAAAGCTGTTGTATGGATTAAATGGAGTGATGCTGATGGGGCACTTAATCCATGCTCTGACATCAGCGGGATGTTAGGGCTCTTTCTCCCCGTGTTTTTTCCTTACCTATCATGGCAGATTTATTCAAAATACGCTTGCTCTGACTACTTGCTTGTTATCCTGATACTTGCTTTCTCGGACATGCCCATCTCTTAATTATCAAAAGTAAACTTATTACTAAGATCCAATTTATTCTCACAAAAATAGAACCAATCTTCTGATTTCCTAGAATCACATGGTGTATCTCCTCAGTGATCCTGCTATCTACTACTATTTTCTATTAATTACTATTTTATTAGCCTGATCTCCACAATAAGCAGTGAACTCCTAGAGTTCAGAAATCAAGAGTTTATCTTCTTAGGCTTTCCTTATTGCCCTTATTAGAGGTCAGAATGGTGGCTGAGTGTTCCAAGTTGTTCGATTGGTAATTGCCAGATCCCTGGCCTGGCTTGGCACCACAGCACCGGGTGCTTTGGGGGAAACAGAGGCATCAGATGGGGCTTTCCTCTCCCACAGGTCCTCCGGTTGGGAAGATCAAGTGCCTTGTGAACTGCTGGAGATAGATAAAAACAACGGAGATGAGTCAGTGGGCAGGGGGACCTCACTTGCAAATGAGGTTTGGGAATCATGACGGTGGTGGTTTTTAAAGACAAGATGGATTTGAACATTAAAAACTGAGAGACATTCAGAACATTCCAGAACAGTGTCTGTAAAAGTACAGAGACCATACATTATAGGCCAAATATGAGAAATACTGAGTGGTTCTGCAGCCAGGAGTGGAAGGATCCTAAAGAATGCAGCCACTAGTACCAAGCTGATGGCATCAGACCTCTGTTAGGAAGTTATAAAAGCCAAGTGTGAATCTGATGGGAAGAGATGGAAAAACTGTCAAAAGGCTGCCATAGTGACACTCCTGAGGGACAAAAATAACTGCAATTGGGGTGCCAGAAAGAAATAGAGAGTGAAAAGCAGATGGAGGAGATGCAGATCTCCAAGTGAATCTTAGGTGCGTGGTAAAAGGATGGAGGAGTCAAAGATGGCGCTGCAATTTCAGTCTATGGTGGGTGGAAGGGCAGTGATGCCCTGGCACACGTTGGGAACTTAGGAGGCATGATGAAAGTTTAGGGAAAGGAACATGAATCAAGTGTTTATATATTTTATTAGGTTGTTATTGGAACCCAGTGGTAGAAGTATCCATGAATTGGCTGGAAATAAAGGTCTGACATTCAGGGAGAAGTCAGAACTAGAGATAGAGATCAGAGAGGCAGGCTGAGCAGGAGCTTCCAGAGGAAGCTTGAGAGCAAGTGAGTGATGGGGAAAATGGAAATAATCTATGAAAGGATCTCACCAAGCCTCACTAAGGCCTCACCAAAAATTCAGTTTGGATCTACAAGGTTTCTCTGCCAAAGAGGAAAGGGGCAGGAGCATGGCAGGGAACTAGGGTATGGGAGGATGCTGGGGAGGCACAGACGGACACACCAAATTCCTGGGGCTCAAATAAGACCAGGAGGATAGCTGGGCATGGTGGGTCACACCTATAATCCCAGCACTTGGGAGGCTGAGGCAGGAGGATCGCCATGACTTTGAGGCCAGCCTGGGCTGCATAGTGAGTGCAAGGCCAGCCTGACCTACATGATGAGGTCCTGTCTCAAAAAACAAAAAACAAAACAAGGAGGCAGTAAACATGGAGAATGCAAGGCCTTGTTTTAAGTACTATGTACGGTTTTAGAACTTACCTGTTCACTTTATGTCTCTTGCTCACTTATGCTGCTTCCTTTCTTTCTCCATCTCTCCCTCCCTTTCTCCCTCCCATTCAGGCTTTGCTGCCTGCCATGCTGGGCTTCCTATCTGTTCTCTATTCTGTTTGTAGATATTTGAAGTGAAAACACTTGGTAAAAATCCCCTTAGGCACAGACAGGGAGAAGGAAGATGTAAACCTTAATCCTTTTTTTTTTCCTTTAGTACGTTTTAATTTATTTAAAAGTTGGGTTTCATTGTGTTATTTTTATACATACACATAACATTTTGATCATATCCAACCTCCATTGCCCTCCCTTGCATCTTCTATCCCCTCTTCCTTACTCCCTTCCTTTTCTCTAATAATAACATCCCTTCTACTTCCATGCCATCTTTATTTTTTTCTTTTCAATAAATTCCATATATTAAGGAAAATATGCAATATCTTTCCAAGTTTGGCTATTTTGCTTAACATGATGCAGTTCCATCCACTTTCCAGCAAATAAGATAATTTTATTCTTCTAAGTGGCCCGAGGTAAAAGAGAATGCCCAGGTTGGAAAAACAACCTGGCAGGATCAGGGAAGCAGGGGGACAGTGCCAGAGGCTCAAACAAGAAGTCACAGAGAGCTCAAAACCCTGAGAGACAGGCTCCAGCTACAAACCTGGAGGTGCCTTCCTCACCCCAGGCTCCCTGCAAGCACTTCATGACCACACTTGATCATGCTACAGGAAACCACTGCCAAGCCCTCCGCTGAAGTTTAAAACCCTTTTAGGCCAACAGTCTTCCCCTATGAGAGGTCCCACGGCTCGCTCAGAGGGGAATCTCAAATAACAACATTAACTTGGCAGCCCCTCAGTTTTGCTGTGCTAAAATACAACCTACTTCATGTGATAGGAGGGAGCTGCTGAGAACAATAATTTTCAAATGATATATTCTTTTTGCAAATTCATGGTCATTATTAAAAAATACTTGCCATCTACCTGCGTATTATGGGGCCATGGAGGCAATTTTGTAGGAGATGAAATGCTTGATGTTCTCTCATCCCTGAAGAGCCAGGGAGCATTGACATGCTGGTCAGCAGCCCTTCTCCTTGTCCCTCCTATTTACAGCACAGCATGCTATGTTACACATCCTTAATAACCCTTAACTTGGTGGTAGTTGGGTTGGGCTTAGTACTTGATTACAAAAATAGCACTTTTCATAAGAGAAATGAGTCAATTAATTTAAGTGTTGTGTAATGTTTATCATGAAAATACCTAGATTTCTAAATAGTGGACAGTTTGTTAACTCTGAGAAAAAAAGTTTGATATGAAATCAGGAAGTTTAATGAGGTAGTTGTAGAAGTATTATAACTGAAACACACACACCAAGAAATCAGATTTCCTTGTGCTAGGTAACAAGAAACAAGTTTTCAGAGCATCTCACCTTCCAAAAGAGTAGGTTACTTGTAGAAATTTGTGCCCTGTAGCTCTCAGGAATTAATAATCAGACTTTTATTTCTCCATAGCCATGAGATTTTTTGATAGGGTGTTTGTTGTATAAATACTCCATCTTGGCAAAACATAGCACAGCTGTCTTTATCTGACAATGAGCTTGCAGGTAAGCAATCTTTACACTATTTTAAAAAATGATCATTTTAGATTAACATGCCTTCAATTCCAAAACTAATACATGTTCCTTGTACATAATTTAGAAAACACAGAGAAGCATAATTTTAAAAAAAGAATTTTCCTTTGTCCCAATATCCAGAAATATTGCCCAGATACCTTTCACTGTCTCCAAATGTACATTCACAATGGTGGAAATTATAGAAATAATTATGTTGTCCCAATAATATAGCTGAACCAAGCACAATTCTAAGCATTCCACATATATTAACTCATTAATCCTAGCAATGTACTAAGCTATGTACTTAGGATTATTAAAATCTTATTCTACAGCTGAGGAATCTGAGATAGATGAATATAAGTTTTGCACAAGGCTGATACTTCTATTTTCTCATACTGTCATAACAAAATACCAAAAACAAGATTGCTTGAAAGCAACAGTAATTTATTCTGGAGACCAGAGGCTGAAATCCAGGTGTGGGCAGTGTTGGTTCCTTTTGGAGGCCCTGGAGGAGAATCCTTTATTCTTCCTGAGCTTCTAGTGGCTTCTGGCTGTCCTTGGTGCTCCTTGGCCTATAAGGTATCACTCCCAGTACCTGCCTCTGTGTTTACTTCCTCCCTGTGTCCTCTCCTCTTGGATAAGGTCATTTATCATTGGATTTAGGGACCACTCTAACCCTGGATGATCTTGTATCAAAATCATAAATTGGATTACATCTTCAAAGATGCTTTTTCAAAATAAGGTTCCAAGTAGATAGATCTTTTTGGGGGACAGTTGATCATTCAGCCCACTGCAATATTAGAATCGAGGTCCTATCCAAGGCATTCTGGTTTTAAAACACTTGTATGTTTCTAGACCCAACCCCCCAGCCATCCTATATATAGCTTTTGGGGATTTGGGAAATAATGCTGTTGTTTTCAAAATAGGATCATGCTATACTCTCAAGGTGATTGTTCCAAGAACTGGTTTTTATTTCCAGACAATTGGGTAATAAGCAGGGAAAGCAGCTAGAGAGTCTCCATATCTGATCCTATGGTCTGGCACCCCACCCATGCCCTAC